TGGGGCCTGCACACGAAACTTCCGAGGCCACAGAACCCGAGGCCCTGGCGGATTCAACGGCGTCCTGCGCGGACCCAGGCTGGCAAACCTACTGCTTCTGTTTGGGCGCCCCCCTCTGCCCCAAAGCCTATAGAGTTTCAGAGGGTAGTGTACTTTCATGCCCCACCGGAATATTCAAGGATTGGCATAGCAACAGTAGGGCGAAAGCACGCTGTACCAACATAGCAAGAATGACAATCCTGTGGGTTTTCCTACTCTGGATGCCTCGGTGCCAGGCTGCCCGAAAGTCATGGCAATCTTCTTCGCCTCCAGAAATGTGGTCTGGAATGCTTGCTACTACTCGTTCTAAGAAGCTGAGACCAAGCGATCGGAACATTTAAACAATCAACCCAGTACGACAAAAGATGGCAGCAATCTTCTTGCAATATGCACTACGGAGAAGAGTTACAGCGGCAAGAGCAAGGGGCACGACCTTAATCGCAAGCAGCCAGTTCAGCGAAGCTACTGCTTTCCGACACGCGTGCGCCTCTGCAGCCATCGGGAGCTCCACCTAGTGTGCACGCGCACACTTGCTGCAAGACTTATGTTGTGACGACAAGTGCCTACAGGTGTTCCCAAGACTCACTTTTGCATGCCTTGCAGGACAGCAGCCATCTTTCAAAACCCAAGCCGCCCTGAACCCTGAACCCTGAACCCTAAACCCTAAACCCTAATGAGCAACAGTGTTCATAGAGCCGGCGAACATCAATGTTTGGTGATGGCGACTGCGTCGGCTGAGGCCCGAGAGCCGGGAAGCCCGGCGTGTTTGTGATCTGGCATCGGAAAGCGCATCCTCGCAAACCAGGCCTCCAGGACACGATTCTCGCCATTTTCCCAGCGGCAGCCGCGGTGGCCACGGATCACCACCTTGAACTCCATCCTCGCGTGAAAGCGGATTGAGAAAACGTGCTCATCTACCTCGAGAAGTATCAAGGTACCACTACAAGTATCGGCACGGGGACAGCTATCATTGACCTTGTCACATGTTCACCGTGTACATCTTTCTTAATATGCGGCATCAGCTTGAGTTGTGCCCGGGGTGCCCTGACTGCATACATTAGCCTCCACTACGATTGTAGAAAGGTCATGACCAATCTTCGAGCAATTGCCACGTCTCTTTCTGAGATTCTGCAACTGGATGCCAAGATTCCAAGCCAAAATCTAAAGGTGAAGCTCCCCCAACACCCCAAAAGCACCCACAGAGGAGTGGTCCTGCTGCCGACTGGCAGCTTCACAACGTTGGAAGTCCAACGCGGAAACGCCGCGCTGGATGTGAAACAGGGCACTGCCTGTCAGACATTTTAGGGTCCAAAGTTTCGGGTTTGGGTGGGGGGAGGGGTTTTCCATGGTTTTGGGTCGGGTCCTTGATTTCGGGGTGAACAAAGCTTGGGAGTATATTGCGGACCCTGATCTTGGTTGTGCACGCGTCTTGCTGGAGAAGCGGCATAAGGTTTCCAAAAAGAGGAGGAGCCAACTACCAAGGCCTCTGCAGGGTTCCACTTGCCGAGCTCCTTGCAGCAGCCGACGATGTAGACGTTTTCGCCTTCAAGGCCCGGCATCAGAACTCTTGCCGGGAATCTCTACCTACGCATCCTGCACTCAGCCAAGCCATCTGGAACGGCCGCTACCTCGTATTTTTCCTGGAAATCGAAAGGTGAGGATTGCGTCTGCCAACTAATCGTTGCTTCTCAACATTACTCGCACTTGTCTGAAAGTGTGGCAGCTGCGCCATACTTTGAAAAAGTCCTCTCCATGCCCCAGGCCTGGTGCTGTGCAGGAGCAATTCACGCCGAAGACGACATCCGTGGCGGAAACCATTGCGGCCAACCAACCCCTATGATCCCCTTGGGTGAGAAACATGTAGCAACCGAATCCCGAAATTGTCATAGCATAATTTGCCACTCAACAATGCCTGCTTAAAACTCCCTACATACTCTTTACTATACAGTAGTACAGTACACCCGTTGTCATCCTTGCAAGGGCGCTTGAGTACTTGTCTTCTCTTGATGAATCACGCAAAGCACACGTGAAATCGGCAAACCCTTCTCTGCACGACAAACAACACGGACCAAAGGCGCAGCAGCGCTTCAAGAACATGCGTTACAGCACTCGAGTCTCTCCTAATCCAGAGAGATAGTGTTTCACTGAATCTTTCAATCAAGCTTCTCCAGTTCATCTCGGGAATTGCTGTTCCAAGAGTTTCGGGCGGAGCACTGATCACGGCAGCTTCGGGATGCCTCGTATTCGGTTGCGACATGCCAGGGCTTCTACGGCAGCAGCAATGATTTCTGCCATGGATGTGGTCTGCCGTACGGAAGACCACATCCATGGCGGAAACCATTGCTGCCACGAAGCCCTGGTATGGGAACCATAGTGGTCCGTGGCCACTGCGGCGGGGATTCTGGCAGCTCCTTGCACAGCCAAATGACACTCTCTAAACATGTCTTGATTGCTATCAACATCCGCATCCGGAAAAATGTAAAGATGTTGCAGTATTCGGCACGGTGACGGCCATCATTAAACTTCTCACGTGTTTATCCTGCACATCCTTCTTAAGCTGTGGCATCAGCTTGAGTTGCCTGCATACACTATCCATGACTATTGCGGAAAAGCCATGATCAATATTCTAGCTATTGCCATATCTCTTTCTGCACGTGAGATTCTCCAACTGGATGCCAGGGTTCCAACGTAAAAAGCAAAAGTCCCCCCCAAAATGCCAAAACAAAGCCACGGAAGCTGTCCTCCCGCCGATTGACACTTCACTGACCTGGTTTCACATCCACCGCGACGTTTCCGCGGAGGACTTCTAAAGCCGTGAGCTTTGAAGTCTAACGTGGAAATCTCGCGGTGGATGTGAAACAACGTAGGGCCTGGCAGACGCTTCAGGGTCAAAAGCTTCGTGTTTGGGGTTGCTTGGGGTTTTGTCATTGGAAATGGGGATCGAACAAGATTGTTGGACCCCAGTCTTTGGTTGTGAACACCTGGCAGACACATCAGGGTTCAAAGGTTCGTGTTTGGGGGCTTGGCTTGAAGGTTTTTTGGGCAACGAACAAAGACTGGTAGCATATAGTGGACCCTAGTCTTGGTTGTGAACACGGTTTACTGCAGGAGCGGCACAAGGCCTGCAAGAAGGGGAGGAAGCAACTACGAGTCCCAAGGGCCTCTGCAGGGTTCCAAGCTCCCAAGCTCCCAGTTCCTTGCAAGAGGCGACGATGAAGACTTGCTCGCCTCCAAGGCCCGGCATCGGAGCTCTTGTTGGATTCTTTGTTTATGTCAAGTTTATGTATCCTGCACTCAGCCAAGCCATCTGGAAACTTGAAAGGCAAAAATCGCATCTGCCAACTAATCTTTGCTACTCATAAATTACTCATACCTGTCTGCAAGTATGGCCGGCTGCGCCCATGTTGACCTCCCAGAATGCGAGACTTCGTTTACTTGGTTACTTGGCCGGCCTGGCCATCTGTCGAAGGTTAGCCAGCTGCTCCAAACTGTTGATCTTCTGCTGCCTCAGCACCTTCCGGTGGCATGGAGTCATGAAGGGCTCCTGTTACAATATCTCTTGTTCGAGATGCCAGAAAGCCCCGGCACCAGGTTCCGCGCATGCAGTGCCTCGCCCAAACCTTCTGGACGCCATGTGCACTGCGTGCACAAGCGCCCACTCCACCCGTCTCCACTGCTGTATCAGGCCTCGGCGTCCTGGGGATGATCATCGCTGAGCTGGGACACAGAGTCCTGCGACGGCCAGTCTGACGAATCAATTTAGCGATCCGCTTCTCGCATTCCCGCGGCATCCCAACTTAGCAGGAACTGACTCAAGGTTTCCAAGCGGGCTTTCCGAGAGCTGTCCTCGCTGGCATGCGCGGCCACGTGTCCGCAAGACAACCCTACGCCACTGCGAACTCTAGCTATCTCCTGTCTCGAATGCCTTCTGCACCGTGCGACATGGTCATGGCAACTTTCACAACGCTTGAGCAAGCTGGCGATGAGCCCGTGCGTTTCTTTCAGCATGTTGGCTCAGTTTGCTCACCGACATGTGCGACATCCACTTACATGTGGCACTCACTCACAGCCTTTTTTGTGGGGTGGGGGACGGGCTGGGGGGCATGGCAGCGCGGGCATACTGCCCCAGCTGAGCAGTCACAATGGCCACGTGCAATTATGAAACTCAGGCAAAACTCGCCTCGCAGGCAGGATGCTTCAGTCTTTGTACAATGCCCGGTGCTGGACGCACTGAGGAAGAAGCATCTGGTCAGCGTTTTCGAACACGGTTTGGTAACAGGGCGGAAGTGCCTCTGAGTGCGACTTGTTGAGGGACTGCTGGTGTTCCTACTCTCGGCTCTCTGCTCGAAAGAACATCTGCGTTCTTCATTAATGCAGACAACCCTATATCCACACTTCCACCCTGCCCCAAAACATCAGCTGAAAATGTTAAATTAAGATCCCTTTTTCAAGACCCATTGCCCTTCAGGTGGGGGTTGTGCCTGAGAATGTGCTGGGATGCCCCGAAGCTGTCTCCACCACCATCTCCCCAGAGTGTGTGCCGGAACCGCACCAGGACCGGTGGCCACTGTGGCTGGGGCTTGGCCCAACTTGGGGGCTTGGGCCGGGGCTTCGGCCGCGGCTTGGGCCGGGGCTTGGGCCGGGGCTTGGGCTTGGGCGCGCTGAAAGTCTCCACGGGCGCTGGTGCCCTGCTGCTTGGCGGGTGGCTTGATGTCCTCGAGGTCAGCGTGCGACCGCTTGCCGCGACCTGCAACGAGATGGGATATCTGAGACAGCCTGATCAACGTGCAAGCGCAAGTGCATGAACGTGAGCGCAGTGTCAAGAAGACAAAAGCAAAGCCGCAGACCTACTTGCAAGTTCTAGCTTGGCCAATGCAAGAAACATTGGTACTGTAAGAATCACAGTGCTGATCGAGGACTTTTCCGGCTCCGCGCGCCAGTCCCTGGAGGGCAATGATCGTCTACTTTGCAGCGCGCCAGGCCGAAAAACAACGGATGCTGCGATGGCTGCCCGGCGAGTCTCGGCGACGGAGTTCCTCACCAGCCGCACTGGACACATCACTGCTCTTCCAAGAAAAGATGCTTCCAAGGGTGGCAACTGGGCTGTAATTACATGTGTGGGGCTGACTCATCTCATCTCATCTCACTGTACGAGTAGAAGAAGTCGCAGACAAAGTAAGAAGCAATCGCACTTGACTGAATTTGGAAAGCCAAGCTGCAGCGTAGCTCGAAAATGAAGTCATTGAAGCGAAGACCTGCCGTCCGCAGTCGCTGGTGAATTCGGCTTGATACCACCAAGCCACTGCCAGTGCTTCTGCACGCAAAACAATGAGCTTCTCAAGCGATTCGTTTTGCCGGCCTGCTCCAGGCTAGCCTCGTGGGCGTTCAGTCGCAGCCTGGGACCACTTAACTACCAAAGGCTACCGAGACGACCACCGGCCCCCTGGGGCTCCGGCAGGTTGTGCCCGTGGAGCTTGACGTCCCATACCCACGGCACCTTGCCCAGCATCCGGCCTAAGAGCGAGCCCAGTAGCGGACTGCAATGCCAGCACTTCCCCAGGGCGAGGACCGGCCGCTGCCGTTGCCTCTGGTGTTGGCATCTGAAACGTGCCTGGGCGAGGCAAACCGATCGCGAAACAAGCGAGCTACCCTCGGTCCCCTGCTGCCATCTTCCGCTGAGCCACAGATGAAGGTCTTGGACACGAACAGCTGCAGGCCGCGCTTTGCCTCTTCATTTGTGCTCAGGAGAAACACAAGTACAAAACAAACACACGCGGATCTACGCCACAAGTCTAAGATAGGCAATGTCCATGATGACCAGGCCTTGCGAATCGCCGCAAGGGTGCCGTGCAGATGGATGTGCGTCTCGCGCAGCCTGTGCTGTTCCAACTCTTGCACTGAAACAGCGGTTACCGGATCACTAGCTAAGCAAGCCAGGTCGGCTCCAGGGTGCAGCCCTCGGCGGCCTGCGACCAAAGCTTGCTGTTACGTGCAAACCCATCGAATTTGGCACCAGCATGCACCTTGATCGCGGGAGCTTCCCTGTTGGGGCCGTGCTCCAACATGACCTTACGTACATCAGCCGTGGAATCGACAAACAAGGACCCAGAAAAGTGTAAATCCCCGAAGGCCGTCGAACAAACTGGAGCTGCACATCTTTTGACACTAGAAACCGCGGACTCGGGGAAATAGAGAACATGGAGTCAGAAAAATGCAGAGTGCTGGAAACGAGACCGCCGATTTCGGTTCTTGTTTTTACCTGCATAAGATAATCAGAGCATCATCCGCCGAGCCCCGCGTGCTGCTCCCGAACCAGGTAAGGGGGGGGAGGAAGGGTGGCAATGAATTCACTGGCGACACGATAGATCGCGGCTAGGTTCTCAGTTACAGCACGTGCCATGTGGCATCACGTTGCGGCTCTTTGCAATGTAGCATGCAATTCATCTCATGCGCACGATCAGCTTTGCAAGTGTAGCGGTAACCGGGACCGAGGCTGGTCCCATGTTGGGACGAAGGTGGAAGCGGCCTCAGTCAGCCATGGTACTTGCGCGCATGGCGCCGGAGAACCTTCTTTTCACAAGTGGGTCACCCAGCGATACAACCAAAAGAAGCCCAACCGACGATTCTCTTGAGACCATCTAGTCCACCCTTAAAAGTGGGGGTTTCTGCAACTTGCGCAGTGCACCTGGGGCCCAAGACCCTCCTGCAGTGCCGGCGTCCCCTGCGACAAGCCATTCAAGCAGCAAATTCTCACAGACCGGCGCCAGCTATTGCTTGCAGGACTTCGAGCTACAGGCGAGCTTAGTAACTCGGGACTTGGGCCAGTTTAGGATGAAATTGAAACTGTTTTCGCGAAGCAGTTGGCTCCTTGTCCCGACCCTGCATGTGTGTCCGATGGTCAGCCGGTTATAGCCATCTACACATAGCCCGAAGCACAACGTACAACGATGACTTACTACTGTAGAGGGAAAACGGTCCACGCAAACCTCACCAACAACTTCAAACAATTACCATGCTGTCTGCAGGGGTCTCGTCATGTTTTCCCACCCTCTTTTTGGGGCCTTGGGCCTTGGCAATCGGGCGCATCCGGTGACAACGCAGCTCCCTGTGAACTCCTACAATACTTCTCCGCGCATGTGTAAACGAGACATCCACGATTCATGCTTCTGATAAGATTGCAGAGCGCCATATGACCGAAAGGTACCTAAGAAGGTCATCCATATGGGTGAAGCAAACATGACACCGCAATCGATCTGCCAGGAGCCGCTCCGGAATTCCAGCGCAGTCTAGACTGAAACCATCCCCTTGTTACGTAGGGAACGCGGGAACGAATCTCAACAACAATAGGGTTGCGACGGCTATGAAAGCGACCCTTTGTGCAGGGCGCGCTCTAGCTAGGGGTTTCATTATGTTTCATTCATGTACCCTCTAACAACCACACCACACAACAAACCTCCAAACCCTAGAGCACCATCCAAAACCAAAGAACTCGATCCGACGCTTACCCTAAACCCTAAACCAGTAGCTACTGTGTTAACGTATACTACTTGCCATAGTGCGTACTAGCCGCATCATACCACAGCAATTATACCAGTATTGTATAAGACTGCTGGTTTACCAGGTCAGAGCCTTCGATGCAAGACTGCTTGAGATACATCATTTTGGGAGCTTGCCTACAGTACGCTGTTCCCAAACCATGGGAAGCGGCGCACCTTCATGGAGCTGTCGCAGCCCGGAGCAGCCTTTTGGGCTTGTAAGTCGAAGGAGTCGGTAGTAGTCTCACGGATTAGGGTTGAATGTATTGCTTTTTGTTGGGGTGGGGGGAGGGGTTGTACGGCAGTATACTGTCGGAGACTACGGCATGCTTGACGTACTGTGCCATATCATACCAAGATTCAGCAGTATAGAGCGCAGTCCCTCCTCCTTCTCAAACACAGATTCATGGCTCGGGGTTTGGGGTGCGCGGCCCCGACAAACATGCGACGAGGTCAACGCCACTAAGCTTAGCTAAGCTGCTGCACTCTAGAACCGCATTTGCCATCACCCACCATGATTCAGAAGAGATCAATATGAGATCAATAGCCAGTTTGCCGGAAACAACATAGCCAAGAGTATTGGCTGCGCTGCGAGCCGCTCCATTATCTGCGTGGCCAGCTCTGGAACTGTCAACAACCCAACAGCCCGAAACCCCCACCCCCCCCCCCCCACCCACCCCCCATAGCAGTGAGCCCGAGACCTAAACCGTGTGTTTTCTGATGTTTCGGGGCGGGGGGAGGCGGGGTGGGCATCAGATGGTATCAGGGCTGAGGAACGTCGACTCTACACCCGACCCCCGAAAACCCCCCCTCCCCCCGCCCCATAGAGTGGGAGCCCTTGGTGCACTCCGCGGCCTCAACATCGCCCTCGCCGGGCGACGCCGCCTTGAGGCAGGTTTTGTGGGAGTTCAGAGTTTGGGAGAGGGTTGGGGTGCCTATATGGGTTTTAGGCGGGGCGTTTAGATTCATATAGCCCAGGTAGGCCACAGGTCCCCACATCCCTGACCTGGCCTCCTCCCCTGACAAACCTTGTCAAGCAACACAGCCTGCCCCATTTTTTCTCGGTGCCGCCCCGGCGCCCTGGCCGAGGCGGCCTCGCGCTAACGGCAGCCAGCGGCGACATTAGAACTGGCTGTAGCTGTAGGGTACTAATGTAATCAATATGCCAATATCACGGCTCATAGCTACCCATTGAGGGGGCTGCTAATGCTGCTAACTCAACCCCCTCCCCGCCCCACTCCCCCGCCTTTGACTGGGGCGCCATGGCCTGGAGCAATTCTGCGTGTTTCGGCATCAGGGTTTAGGGCCTAAGGTCAGCCCCGACTTGGAGATTTGGGAGCTAGGGTTGTGGCTTAAAGCTCAAGCTTCGGGGCTTGGGCCGTTTGGGGTCGCATTGTAGGGCAGGGCTTGCCCTCCCAACGTCAGAAACGCCGCACTCACATTCCCAAGCATCTGCAAAACGCCAAGCGGCGGCCTTGATGTGGGCCTTATCGAGGTGCACCGCCGAATGGCCAAGCAGCGTGGGCAGCGTGGGCGGTTCCTGTGTTCAGGAAAGCGGAGGGGCCGGTTGCAGTGGCTACAGAAATTTCAGAAGGATGGACCCGGCACTCCAGCTTGAGAAGACACTCCAGCCGTCGTACGGAAGCGATGGTTCCCAGCTTCAGTTGCAGCTGGAAAATGTCGGCCACAGAGTCACAAACTAGGGGCAGGGCCTTGGGGCAACCTTTTTCCTGGGTCTACATAGTGGTGTGCAGAGGGCCTTGATTGGTGCTAGACTGGGAAGGGAAACGCAACGTTCATCAGCCATTCGTGAGGGTTTCAGGAATGAGTTCTTGTGCGGAGCAAGTTAGGCTCTTGAGTGTGTGTCATGTGACGACACGCAAACGGGCACCCTGTGATGCGGCGGCGCGCGACTCGCGTGTGCAACGCCTAGCCGTGTCCTGAAAGTGGGGCCTGCACACGAAACTTCCGAGGCCACAGAACCCGAGGCCCTGGCGGATTCAACGGCGTCCTGCGCGGACCCAGGCTGGCAAACCTACTGCTTCTGTTTGGGCGCCCCCCTCTGCCCCAAAGCCTATAGAGTTTCAGAGGGTAGTGTACTTTCATGCCCCACCGGAATATTCAAGGATTGGCATAGCAACAGTAGGGCGAAAGCACGCTGTACCAACATAGCAAGAATGACAATCCTGTGGGTTTTCCTACTCTGGATGCCTCGGTGCCAGGCTGCCCGAAAGTCATGGCAATCTTCTTCGCCTCCAGAAATGTGGTCTGGAATGCTTGCTACTACTCGTTCTAAGAAGCTGAGACCAAGCGATCGGAACATTTAAACAATCAACCCAGTACGACAAAAGATGGCAGCAATCTTCTTGCAATATGCACTACGGAGAAGAGTTACAGCGGCAAGAGCAAGGGGCACGACCTTAATCGCAAGCAGCCAGTTCAGCGAAGCTACTGCTTTCCGACACGCGTGCGCCTCTGCAGCCATCGGGAGCTCCACCTAGTGTGCACGCGCACACTTGCTGCAAGACTTATGTTGTGACGACAAGTGCCTACAGGTGTTCCCAAGACTCACTTTTGCATGCCTTGCAGGACAGCAGCCATCTTTCAAAACCCAAGCCGCCCTGAACCCTGAACCCTGAACCCTAAACCCTAAACCCTAATGAGCAACAGTGTTCATAGAGCCGGCGAACATCAATGTTTGGTGATGGCGACTGCGTCGGCTGAGGCCCGAGAGCCGGGAAGCCCGGCGTGTTTGTGATCTGGCATCGGAAAGCGCATCCTCGCAAACCAGGCCTCCAGGACACGATTCTCGCCATTTTCCCAGCGGCAGCCGCGGTGGCCACGGATCACCACCTTGAACTCCATCCTCGCGTGAAAGCGGATTGAGAAAACGTGCTCATCTACCTCGAGAAGTATCAAAGTACCACTACAAGTATCGGCACGGGGACAGCTATCATTGACCTTGTCACATGTTCACCGTGTACATCTTTCTTAATATGCGGCATCAGCTTGAGTTGTGCCCGGGGTGCCCTGACTGCATACATTAGCCTCCACTACGATTGTAGAAAGGTCATGACCAATCTTCGAGCAATTGCCACGTCTCTTTCTGAGATTCTGCAACTGGATGCCAAGATTCCAAGCCAAAATCTAAAGGTGAAGCTCCCCCAACACCCCAAAAGCACCCACAGAGGAGTGGTCCTGCTGCCGACTGGCAGCTTCACAACGTTGGAAGTCCAACGCGGAAACGCCGCGCTGGATGTGAAACAGGGCACTGCCTGTCAGACATTTTAGGGTCCAAAGTTTCGGGTTTGGGTGGGGGAGGGGTTTTCCATGGTTTTGGGTCGGGTCCTTGATTTCGGGGTGAACAAAGCTTGGGAGTATATTGCGGACCCTGATCTTGGTTGTGCACGCGTCTTGCTGGAGAAGCGGCATAAGGTTTCCAAAAAGAGGAGGAGCCAACTACCAAGGCCTCTGCAGGGTTCCACTTGCCGAGCTCCTTGCAGCAGCCGACGATGTAGACGTTTTCGCCTTCAAGGCCCGGCATCAGAACTCTTGCCGGGAATCTCTACCTACGCATCCTGCACTCAGCCAAGCCATCTGGAACGGCCGCTACCTCGTATTTTTCCTGGAAATCGAAAGGTGAGGATTGCGTCTGCCAACTAATCGTTGCTTCTCAACATTACTCGCACTTGTCTGAAAGTGTGGCAGCTGCGCCATACTTTGAAAAAGTCCTCTCCATGCCCCAGGCCTGGTGCTGTGCAGGAGCAATTCACGCCGAAGACGACATCCGTGGCGGAAACCATTGCGGCCAACCAACCCCTATGATCCCCTTGGGTGAGAAACATGTAGCAACCGAATCCCGAAATTGTCATAGCATAATTTGCCACTCAACAATGCCTGCTTAAAACTCCCTACATACTCTTTACTATACAGTAGTACAGTACACCCGTTGTCATCCTTGCAAGGGCGCTTGAGTACTTGTCTTCTCTTGATGAATCACGCAAAGCACACGTGAAATCGGCAAACCCTTCTCTGCACGACAAACAACACGGACCAAAGGCGCAGCAGCGCTTCAAGAACATGCGTTACAGCACTCGAGTCTCTCCTAATCCAGAGAGATAGTGTTTCACTGAATCTTTCAATCAAGCTTCTCCAGTTCATCTCGGGAATTGCTGTTCCAAGAGTTTCGGGCGGAGCACTGATCACGGCAGCTTCGGGATGCCTCGTATTCGGTTGCGACATGCCAGGGCTTCTACGGCAGCAGCAATGATTTCTGCCATGGATGTGGTCTGCCGTACGGAAGACCACATCCATGGCGGAAACCATTGCTGCCACGAAGCCCTGGTATGGGAACCATAGTGGTCCGTGGCCACTGCGGCGGGGATTCTGGCAGCTCCTTGCACACCCAAATGACACTCTCTAAACATGTCTTGATTGCTATCAACATCCGCATCCGGAAAAATGTAAAGATGTTGCAGTATTCGGCACGGTGACGGCCATCATTAAACTTCTCACGTGTTTATCCTGCACATCCTTCTTAAGCTGTGGCATCAGCTTGAGTTGCCTGCATACACTATCCATGACTATTGCGGAAAAGCCATGATCAATATTCTAGCTATTGCCATATCTCTTTCTGCACGTGAGATTCTCCAACTGGATGCCAGGGTTCCAATCTAATATCAAAAGTCCCCCGAAAATCCCAAAACAAACAGAAGGGAGCCGTCCTGCTGCCGATTGGCAGCTTCACTGACCTTGTTTCACATCCACCGCGACGTTTCCGCGGTGGACTTCTAAAGCCGTGAGCTTTGAAGTCTAACGTGGAAATCTCGCGGTGGATGTGAAACAACGTAGGGCCTGGCAGACACTTCAGGGTCAAAAGCTTCGTGTTTGGGGTTTTTGCTTGGGGTTTTGTCATTGGAAATGGGGATCGAACAAGATTGTTGGACCCCAGTCTTTGGTTGTGAACACCTGGCAGACACATCAGGGTTCAAAGCTTCGTGTTTGGGGGCTTGGCTTGAAGGTTTTTTGGGCAACGAACAAAGACTGGTAGCATATAGTGGACCCTAGTCTTGGTTGTGAACATGGCTTACTGCAGGAGCGGCACAAGGCCTGCAAGAAGGGGAGGAACCAACTACGAGTCCCAAGGGCCTCTGCAGGGTTCCAAGCTCCCAAGCTCCCAGATCCTTGCATTCGGAGCTCTTGTTGGATGTTTTGTTTTTGTCAAGTTTATGTATCCTGCACTCAGCCAAGCCATCTGGAAACTTGAAAGGCAAACATCGCATCTGCCAACTAATCTTTTCTACTCATAAATGACTCATACCTGTCTGCAAGTATGGCCGGCTGTGCCCATGTTGACCTCCCGGAATGCGAGACTTCGTTTACTGGGTTACTTGGCTGGCCTGGCCATCTGTCGAAGGTTAGCCAGCCGCTCCACATTGTTGATCTTCTGCTGCTTCACCTTCCGGTGGCATGGAGTCATGAAGGGCTCCTGTTACAAGATCTCTTGTTCGAGATGCCAGAAAGCCCCGGCACCAGGTTCCTGACCTGCAGCGCCTCGCCCAAACTTTCTGGACGCGCTGTGCACTGTGTGCACAAGTGCCCACTCCACCCGTCTCCACTGTTGTGTCAGGCCTCGGCGTCCTGGAGATGATCATCGCTGAGCTGGGACACAGAGTCCTGCGACGGCCAGTCTGACGAATCAATTTAGCGATCAGCTTCTCGCGTTCCCGCGGCATCGCAACTTAGCAGGAACTGACTCAAGGTTTCCAAGCGGGCTTTCCGAGAGCTGTCCTCGCTGGCATGCGCGGCCACGTGTCCGCAAGACAACCCTACGCCACTGCGAACTCAAGCTACCTCCGGTCTCGAATGTATTCCGCACCGTGCGGCATGGTCATGGCAACTTTCACAACGCTTGAGCAAGCTGGCGAATGCTGTCGATGAGTCCGTGAGTTTCTTTCAGCATGTTGGCTCAGCTTGCTCACCGACATTTGCGACGACATCCACTATGTGGCACTCACTCACAGCCTTTTTTGTGGGGTGGGGGACGGGCTGGGGGGCATGGCAGCGCGGCTTACTGCCCCAGCTGAGCAGTCACAATGGCCACGTGCAATTACGGACCTGAAACTCAGCCAAAACTCGCCTCGCAGGCAGGATGCTTCAGTCTTTGTACAATGCCCGGTGCTGGACGCACTGAGGAAGAAGCATCTGGTCAGTGGTTTACAAGACGGTTTGGTGATTTGGTAACAGAGCGGAAGTGCCTCCAAGCGCGACTTGTTGAGGGACTGCTGGTGTTGCTACTCTAGGCTCTCTGCTCGAAAGAACATCTGGATTCTTCATTCATGCAGACAACCATATATCCACACTTCCACCCTGCCCCAAAACATCAGCTGAAAACGTTAAATTAAGATCCTTTTTTCAAGGCCCATTGCCTTTTGGGTGGGGGTTGTGCCTGAGACATGTGCTGGGATGCCCCGAAGCTGTCTCCACCACCATCTCCCCACACTGTGTCCGCAGGTCCCCCTCCTGCCACTGCCCTCCTGGGCAAGAACGGCGTCGGCGATGCTGCTTGGGCCGGGGCTTGGGCTTGGGCGCGCTGAGAGTCGCCGCGGGCGCTGGTGCGCTGCTGTTAGCTGGTGGCTTGATGTCCTCGAGGTCTTCGTGCGACCGCTTGCCGCGACCTGCAACGAGATGGGATATCTGAGACCGCCTGATCAATGTGCAAGCGCAAGTACAAGCCGCAGACCTACTTGCAAGTTCTAGCTTGGCCAATGCAAGAAACATCGGTAAGAATCACAGTGCTGGACTAGGACTTTTCCGGCTCCGCGCGTGCCAGCCCCTGGAGGGCAATCATCGTCTACTTTGCAGCGCGCCAGGCCGAAAAACAACGGATGCTGCGATGGCTGCCCGGCGAGTCTCGGCGACGGAGTTCCTGACCAGCCGCACTGGACACATCACTGCTCTTCCAAGAAAAGATCCTTCCAAGGGTGGCAACTGGGTTGTTCTTGCATGTGTTGGGCTGACTCATCTCATTGTAGGAGCAGAAGAAGTCGCAGACAAAGTAAGAGGTAATCGCACTTGACTGAATTTGGAAAGCCAAGCTGCAGCGTAGCTCGAAAATGAAGTCATTGAAGCGAAGACCTGCCGTCCGCAGTCGCTGGTGAATTCGGCTTCATACCACTCCAGTCCACAAGGTCGCAACTGCTGCCACTGTTTCTGCACGCAAGAATTGAGCTTCTCAAGCAATTCGTTTTGCAGGCCTGCTCCAGGCTAGCCTCGTGGGCGTTCAATCTCAGCCTGGGAACACTCAACTACCCGGGGCTACCGAGACGACCATCCACTGGCTTTTTGGGGCTCCGGCAGGTTGTGTCCGTGGAGCTTGACCTCCCACACCCACGGCACCTTGCCCAGCATCCGGCCTAAGAGCGAGCAAACCCAATAGCGGACAGGAACGCCAGCACTTCCCCAGGGCGAGGACCGGCCGCTGCTGTTGCCTCTGGCGTTGGCATCTTGAACGTGCCTGGGCAAGCAAACCGATCATGAAACGATCAAGTTACCAAAGATCCTTCCAAGGGTAGCAACTGGGTTGTTCTGTCCCCTGCTGCCATCTTCCGCTGAGCCACAGATGAACGTCTTCGAGACGAACAGCTGCAGGCGACGCTTTGCCTCTGCACTTGCGCTCAGGAGAAACACAAGTACAAAACAAACACATGCGGATCTACGCCACAAGGCTAGGAAGAGCCATGTCCCTGACGACCAGGCCTTGCGAATGGCCGCAAGGGTGCCGTGCAACTGGATGTACGTCTCGTGCTGCCTGTGCTGTTCCAACTCTTGCACTGAACAACGGTTGCCAGATCACTAGCCAAGCAAGCCAGGTCGGCTCCGGAGTGCAGCTCTCGGCGGCCTGCGACCAATGCTTTAATTTCACGTGCAAGTTCATTGAACTTGGCACCAACATGCACCTTCATCACCGGCTCCTCCCCGTTGGGGCCGTGCTCCGAAATCACCTTACATGCATCAGCCGCGGAATCGACAAACAAGGACCGAGTCGGGAACCAGAAAAGTGTGATGCGGGAAATCGAATACCCGAAGGCCGTCGAACAAGCTGGAGCTGCGGGTCTTTTGGACACTAGAAACCGCGGACTCGCGGAGAAAAATGCAGAGTGCTGGAAACGAAACCGCCG